ACATCATTGACAAAGCAATATACCTTATCCCAAATGGTATAGGTGGCACTAGAAGATATCACTCCTTAGCCAATCATCCTCAACGACCCTAGGAGTCAAGTAAGTCCTAACAACCAATGCTATCCCCTCATCTCCCATAACAATCTCCCCTTATGGGGCATCTCTATCATCATAAACAAGCTCACCAACTAGCTCAATATCATTCATCGTATTCGTCGGTATCGGTAAGAAGTACTTTTTCTTTAGCCTTTTGACACTCGGATTGCCTAAGCCAATCTCACCACGACTAAAGCACTTTATGTTACTATTGGTTGCCTTACTAGGCTGCCTCGTAACTATGGTGTTGGCTTCTATTACCATTGCCTTTTACTCAACCTATACCACCACCACCAACTAAGCTACTACTGCCTCTATTGCCTCTTATATTAATAGATTTGTGAAACTGCTAAAACGTTGTGACTGCTTCTTAACTAGTAATGCTTTCTAAAAGGCCACCGATAGACACATCGGATCGAACATACCGACGAGTTCTCCGATTTGTGGCTTCGGTGCCCCAATATATCTCGCCACCAACTAATCGTCCGTCTTTTATAATTTGTTTCGGCTAACAACCGATAGAATTCGGTGGTATAATCATCTACTATCCAAGTTCCCTGTCTTAAATCTTATAACCGTTGGTATATCATCCTTTAATTGTAACATAAGAAGGCGGTACGTATGTGCTTCTTCACCTTCTCCCAATACGTAATCGTAGGCTTACCCATTCGGTTTTTGGTCAACTTTAGCTACTCCTACCAACCAGTTCCCTCTTTCTAAATTTGATGGCTACTAAAGGCACTCGCTTATCCTTGAGAGCATCCTTAAGCTCTAAAATCTCCTCCATTGTCGATGACCAATCTAGAAACTCTTCTACTTAGACGGTGCCATAAAATTCAAGAATCTCTGTTCGCATACCACCTTCCTACCTCCTATTGTCAAGTTCCCTCATGGGAACTATATGTCACCCGGTCGGGACATTCTCATATATCATCCTCAACGTCTTCGAGGTTAGTCTCTAGTGCCTCCCAATAATGATTTCGATTCTAGTTCCTAGGGCCTCTATCCATGTTAATTGTTAGTGCACCCATCTGCTATGCCAACGCCCCTATCTATTGTGTCAACTCGCTCCATCATATCATTCATCTACTCAACTTATCGCTCCAAACGTACCACATCAATGCGCTTATATAGCTCATCCACATCTTCACTCACTATTGTTGTCTACTTGGTCGCATGGTCGGTAAAGCGATATTCGGGCTCCAATACCAACTAACGTACCATAAACTCTTAAAAAGGGAATAAAAATCATTGATCTAACATTTAGATACTGACATACTATAACTTATTGAATTGCACACATAAATTTCGGGAAATAGGCTTCAAGCCTATTGATTCAAAGAATATCGAGAATTGTAAAAACTAAGATACTCTCTCATAAAAGTTTATTAATTAAGCAAAAGTGATATTTTTTAACCTATAAGTGTTACATAAATAGTGAAAACCCTAAAGAAATTTGAAAAGGAAACTAACACTAAAAATTCAAAATTAAATAGGAAAAAATCTCGAAAATCCCACAAAATAATAAAATGCAATTTTGAGGGCCTAAACGATGTTTTTTTTTTCCCAAAATCACACCTACATCATGGGAAAACCCCATGAGTTTTGCTTGTTGACCCATTTGGCATCAAATTAGGTCCAAAAGCCCTCGGAGAATCTCAAACCATGTCACCATCCACTATCGTGCCGCTCCATGAACTCCAAGGCCTTTTGATCCACTTCATAGAGTTAGATAGTTAGGCCTCTTTACTTGTAGCTCATCTTTTGAGGTTTATCAAGTAGTTTGGGCTCCAAAATCTTTACTTGGCAATTGGGTCTCTTTGAAGCTTTAATACTATTCTCAAACTTATATATCACTCATTTTTTATTTATATTTTTAATGTGGGATATGTGCTGTAACATTTACAATATAAAGAGTTTTCTTGAATTCTTAGGCTGCATTTCATCCTTAAACATATGGGCAATCAGGATGGTTAATAGGATTTTGCAAACTTATCTTCATTGCATGACATCTCCTTCACCTAAAGAGCTGGAGTAAACGGTTATCTCTCATTGAGTATTGGTATAACACTAATTGCCGCTCTGCTACTAAGATTTCTCCTATTGTAGCCCTGTAAGGGTATCCTCCTCACTTGCATTTTCACACTTTTCAAGAGATTCAGTTGTAGAAGCTGTGGATGAGTTACTTTAGAAAAAGAAAGAAGTCTTGAGTTTACTTAAATTCCATTTCAAGCAAGCATAACAAAGGATAAAAAATCAGGCAGGTAAGCATCATTCTAAGAGAGTGTTTGAAATTGGTGACTGGATTTACATAAAGCTTTAGATTCATCGATCTAATTAGAAGTTATCCACTCGTTTCTATGTTTCTTTAATAAAGTTAGAACCGTTGTTTACCCTCTTGATCATGCTGATTGAAATCATGGAGGATATGGCTTCAAATTTCCAACAAAATTTTGCTAGCTTAAGCAAGCCCAATTCATGAGCTGTAATGTCCAGAAAGATTTTGTTTCTGTTCAAAGTTTGGAGGTGTGTCATCGCTTAATAAATTTTTTGGTTAATTGTACTTGTTCTATGTGTTTGATTAAATAACAAGAAATTAAGATGAATTTTTAGGTTTAGAATATCCGGAAAATCCAAAAAAAAAAAAAAAATTGATACACATATAAGATTATTTAGTAAAATAACACATCTATAAAAATTATTATAAATTTATTGTGTTTATCATAGATCCAGTCCACAAGTAACTTTAATTAAATAGAAAAATAATTATATTAAATTTTAAGAGAATAATGACGAAAGGCTATGTTTGTGCGTGTGTGTTGCTTGAAAAGAAATGAAAAGTTTTCTTTGTTGTTTTGTTTTTAGCTTAAACATGCAATATAGGATCTTAGATACATCCTACATTTCATGTTTCTCAGCTTAAACGGTCAGTACATGGTGATATTGTCAATCATATTCCCCTACCTACCACTAACAGAGTTTCACCTTATCCCTTGGCAATTCTGGACAGAAAAATGATGGAAAGACGAAATGTTGCTGCTACTAAGCTCTTAATTATTTCATTGGTCTCACATTTCCCCAGTTAATGCTAAGTACCATAGAGTATTGATATTACAAGTTTAATTTTGAGGACTAAAATGAAATTACAAAGGTACAGGTTTGGAATTAAAACGATGCTGGAAAAGAGGAAAAGTTAGTTTCAATGAGTTAAGGTAGGTAGTTAGTTAGAACTGTTAATCAAATGATTCTCGTCAAATTGCTCTGTCAGCCTGACATTAGTAGTTTTTCATGATATTTAATTTGGATATCTTTCATCTTTAAAATATAAAAAAATCTTAAAGTTAGACCTCTTTTTCGGTTAGATATTCACTTTGGTGAACTCATACTGGGATACAAACGATATTAAAATTAAAATCACGTATTAATTAACTTATTTTCAATAAAAACAAGATGTTAATTAAACATTTTTAGTTTATAAATCAATATATAGTATAATAATAATAATAAAGCATGTATACTATGATAATCTTAAGTTTTATTTATTTATTTATTTATTTAACAGTAAAGGTATTCTTAAATCAGTTTTAGCACACCTAACGATTAATTTTTTTCTGAGCTTAACTAAAGGGCACTCCCAATGCACATTATTATATATTTTAATAATAAATTATAAAAAATGTTGGTTACAAAAATCGTATGAATTAACATTGCTTGCGAGCATGCTGCCACTTTACAATCCATGACCATGCATTATAGGTTTAAAGTGGATTTAGTTTTTGATAATGCTGCAGCCGTTCGTGTCAAATGTTTTCACATGCGTCATTTTCTGCTCAGATGAGAGGTAAGATACTTTCGTCCGATATTTTATTGACGTTAATTTCTTTTCTTTTAGGCAAGAAGGGGAAAAAAGAAGAAGTAAAAATAACATAACTAATCATATTTTAAATCTCATTATTAAACTTGAATTTTATGATTTAGATTAGTTTAGGGAGAAAAATAATCAATAGTTAAGGTGTTGTTATTTTTAACATATACTCAATCATGTATGTTTATTTTGATTTTTATGATGTAAAATCAAGAAACATGAGCCAACATGATTACAGCAAAAACATACACAACCATTTCATTTTGTAATAAAACTAAATGACTCACTGTTAAAGGAAAAAGCTCTTTCTGTGCTACAAAAATTGTCCTCCTTATTGTTTTTTAAAAAATATTTTTATTTTGAAATATATGATCAAATTAGATTTTTTTTTTTAAGTAAAATTTATTTTAAGAAAGTACGGTTAAAAAAATGCTGATATGATGTTATAGTTAATAATTTTTTAAATTGCGTGAAAAAAAAAAATTATCACTTTAGGACAGAAGTATTAACAACATGAGGATATTTCTTTGTGCATTAAAAACAAGAGAAATTGGGCTTTTAGCCCCTCTTGTATAACGGAAAATAAGAGAAATTTCAGCCATTAAAAGAAAGAGAAGTATGGTTTTTGAATGTTTTGAAATTTTAAATTATAATTAATTAAGAGGTATAAGCTTGGACTTAATTAGAATAGAGCAGGGAATTTATGAGAGATATGGATTATTGGTGGGAATTAGTTTGGATTTTTGTTCTAGTGTTGAATTTTTTTTTTTTTTTATGATTATTATTATTATTATTATGTTTTTGAGCAAATTGAAAAGAAATTACAAAAGATAAGTTGTTCTAAAGACAGCATACGAATTACAAATTAAAAAATAGAAGTGACTGCATTTGAACTTATTTTATTTGAAATATTGCTCAACATATATATATATATATCACATGTATGTAGCTACAAAAGCATATTTATAGATATATGTAATATATATAAGTTAATCTCTTAATATAGACGTACGTGAGGCTTGTTCTCCATATGTTCATTTCATGCAGTATGTACTGCTTCGTCTCCAATGACAGCATCATCAGGGATGTACTTGCCCCAGAACCAATGTGCCTTCCAAACTCTGTTGATTTCTTCAATTGGGATGTTCTTCGTCTCCGGCAAAAAGAAGTAAATGAAGATGGTCATGATAACAACAAAGGCAGCAAAGAACAAGAAGAGACCAAATTTCATGTGGCAGAGCATGGTTAAGAAGAATTGGCCGATGAGGAAAGTGAAGAACATGTTAACTGAGACATTGATGGCTTGCCCTGCTGATCTAATCTCAAGAGGGCAGATTTCACTAGGCACTAGCCATCCCAATGGACCCCAAGACCAGGCAAATGCTGCGACATAAGCACAGATCAAGAACAACACAAAGTTGGCTGTTCCACTCGCCATCTCTCCTACACCATTTGTTCCAAAGTTGAGGGCTATCATGACTCCTATAACTATCTGCAATCAAGTAAACATATTCATTGAATCAACATGAATCTAAAGTGAATCGGTTATAATTAAAGAATTCTAATATAGTAAAAAAATGATAAAGGTTATTATTATTATATACCTGGCAAATAATCATCTGAATTCCTCCTTCAAGGAACAAAATTCTTCTCCCCAACCTATCAGCTGAGTAGACGGAAACAAGCGTACTGACGACATTAACTATGCCAGTAATAACGGCAGACATAAGTGAGGCATCATCACCGAAACCCAAGGTCTTAAAGAGAACAGGTGCATAAAACATGATGACATTAATTCCGGTAACTTGCTGAAAGAATGGAATCAATGTGCAAATGACAAGTTGAGGCCTATATCTTGGCTGCAAGATGTTTCTCCATGGGTGTTCTACTTTCTTTGCAGCCTCACTTGCGTCTACAAGGTCTTGGAATTCTGCTTCAACATTGTCCGTGCCACGAACCTTTTCCAGCATTTTCTTGGCTTTCTCGGGATGGCCTCTCTCAAGGATAGAATTGGGAGTGTCTGGAAGGAAGAATGATCCAACGACCATCATTATAGCGGGGACAGCTGCAAGAGCCAAAGAAATTCTCCAGCCATATCCCTCTTTAATTTTTGATGTTCCGTAGTTAATGAGATTTGCAGCCAAAATACCGATAGTAATGGCCATTTGGAAACCAATGTTAAGCCCTCCTCTCAGTTTTGCTGGTGCCATTTCAGATAGATAAATTGGAACAGACTGGATAGAACGGAGAAAATGAAAATCAATGTCGAAAGTTATAAACATTTCAAATAGACAACGCCAAAATTGGGAGAAACAGTTACCTGATTAGCAAAGCCAACACCAACACCAAGTAACAAACGACCAATGATAAGCATTGCTACATTGGTTGCAGCACCATTAAGAATGGCACCAACAAGAAAAACCAAGCCTCCGGACAACATAGAGGATTTACGGCCGAATAATCTGGTAACCGTAGAGGAAAAGAAGGAAGCCACCAAAGCAGCGAGGTAGAGGGAAGATGTGAACAATTGCAACAAATGGCTATCAAATTTGCAGTACATACTCTCATGATGATCTTCCTTCTCTTTGTGGTACACAGATGGGAAGAATTTTTTCAGAAACGAGTCCATAGAAGTCACACCACCTGCAACATTGTACAAAATCATCAAATAATTAGTAACTTAAGATATAATTCATCAACAATCTTTGCCAATATTTAAAAGGTCTTCCATTTATTACCTGAGATGCCAATGTCATAACCGAAAATGAGACCACCCATGGCAGCAACCAAACAGGTCATGATAACGAAGGTTGTTACACCACCTTCATAGCTCCTCCCCCCACTTTGTGCAACAAAAGCTCCTCCTGCCATCTTTCTGCAAGCGCTGTATTTATCTTTTGCCTTAAGTTTGATAAAAGAAAGGGTCTGACAAAAGATAAATTACCTCATTTGCATTGGATCCTATTTGATTTGTCAAGCTATCATTTATAGAGCTATGCAGGCAGCATAAAATGTGGAGAAATGTTAAAATTCGCGGTCATAAAAACAGGATAAAATTAGTTATCTTTCTCTAGAGGGACTCTGCTTGTAGTTTTCGTTGTGCCATGCATGTCATCTTGTTAAATGGATAAGTTTGTAGGGTTGAGTCTTTGTCCAGCGCATAAAATATGTGATGGATGACAACAACATCTTTGACCATGGAAACCTATATTTGGCACTGTGCTTAGTGATCGCTAGGGATAATGATTAAGAACGTAGCTAGGTTTGTATAGGGCTTGAATGGCGATTAGTCAGACTCTTATTTGGAGACCAAGCTCTTTTTTTATTTTTTTATTTTTTTATTTTTTTATTTTTTATTTTTTTATTTTTTTATTTTTTATTTTTTATCGAGCACTGCAGCTTGTACAGCCTATTTACACATAGATTTCAAAATGCGAAAATAATGATACCAACACTCAGTTTCATAACAGTTTAATTTCATGGGGTGCCATATCAATATTATGTCTTGTTTCTGCTATATTATGACAATATCCCTATGGACATAAGTGGAATGCGGTCTGAATTATCATTATTAATCTTTATGACTATATATATACATATACGTTATGTCTTGTTTCTGCTATATTATGGCAATATCCCTATGGACATAAGTGGGATGTGCTCTGAATTATCCTTATTAATCTTAAGACATGTCAAACCATTTTTCCAACTAAACTAACTACTTGCATCTACATGCAGAAGCTATGGTTGAGTACTTGGTAGCACCATTGATAAATGTTAAGCTAAAAACTTGCTTCTACTTAACTATATTTTTCAAAGCTCCAACCAGAATTGTATAGAACCCTAAAAGATTAAAGCCATAATCATTACCTTTCAAGCCCAGATAACTCTATTCATGAACCAATTTTTTTGACGAATAGGCGCAAATGTAAACGAAGAAAATCATAGAAATCAGTTGAAAATGAAGAAAAAATATGTCAAGATATTGTTGGGGTTGGTGCCTTGCTCATGAAATAAAAGGTTGAGAAGAAAATGCCGACAAAACATTCAAGATATACTCAAGGCCAAGCTTGAGACTATTATTGAAGCTCCTGCTGATCAGAAAATTCGGAAGGAGAATCAAGTCCGATAAGAAATGCATCCAAGAATGTCTAAGAGTGGTAAGAAGGTGAAAAAGACTAAAAGAAGAAGAAGAATAAGCTTTTCTGACTTTGCAGATTCGCAAGTAATTTTCATGACTAGGCTTGCCTACAAACTTAATTAAAAGAGCCTGATTGTCAAATATCATGCATTGCATATGTATTCTAACAGGTGACGGGGCCTATCTTGTTTTTCTAGATATTTTTTTTTTATAACCATGAAGTCCATTAAAACACCAGCGGAATTAACTGATTAATACGTATAATGGGTTGGTTATGCCATTTTTTGGATTTGCTCTAGCGGAAGCAATCCCCCTAATTGCCCTAATGATGGCCTTTGCCTATATATATATATATATATATATATATATAATCCATGTGTTTTTTGAATTGTTATGATTGCCACTTTATATATTCTTTTGTATTAATTGAATCTCTTGATACTTAATTGTTTGGTTATTGCCCCTCTCACTATAAAAAAATTAAGCCTTTAGCGATGAATTTTTCCATATTCTACCGTTATTTTCATTTAGGCACGACATAGCATCCAAACCAAATTATCAATAAAATGCTTGTTGTGAATAATTTTAGCGATAAAAGTTTGCATTTGTCGCTAATTTAGCAATGAAAAAGTTATCATTATAGTGTAATACATCCGTCACTAATGTGATAAAATTAGTGACGGATTTGTTGTCGCCATAGGGGCATACTACTATCGCTTATTGAGAAACAATCCTACTAAGCAACAAGTAAAAGACATAAACTCTGCTATAATAGTTTGATAGTTACAAGGACTCTAACTAGTTATCCTTATCTTTTGTATTATCCTCATCTTTTGTATTACTTAGTATTCTAGTTACACTATACTTGTACATATATAAAGGACATGTTAAAGTCCTAGTAAAACAAGGCTGAAATATTCTCTTCCAACGAAACTCACGGTTTAACTTGGTATCGAGCAAAACATAGAAGGGTGGAATTCTCAAAATAAATTATTATCTTTGGTAATGCGTTTAACGAGATAACAAAGGTCGAGTTATTTATGGGACATGCAACACATCAAGTAATTTAAGATTTTTTTGCAAGAGTTTTAATATGACTTGAACCAATATGCAAAATAAGTAAAAATTCACCATTGCCAACCTCGTAGTTGATTGTTGCTCATGTATGGTTCGTAGGTATTGAAATTGGCCAAGTCGGGAGTTACATGGTGTGAGGCACTAGTGTCGAGGTACTATGTATGTGAGCACAACCGTAGGAAGGAGGAAGCCGTGAGGTTAGGCCGTGGGTTCTTCGCCGGCCGGCATGGCGCTATAGGCAATGGACGATAGTATGGTTCCGGGAGAGACAGATTTGATATTTGTTGTGGTTGTTGGGTTGAGTCTAATGGTTTCTATTTTCTAACTAGAAGGTGTTTCCATACCTAGAATCGGAGTGGCCATGCCCTCTACTCGTGAGTTTTTCTACCACGATTATAGGTGAAGCCACTATAACGGTCTCCTTGTGGTTGATACCCTAAGCCCTTGATTACCATGTGAGCCATAGGAGTATGGGTAGTAATGCATTAAAGGGGGTGGATAAGAGTGGCGCCGTACATGGTGAGGGTGGTGGAGTTGAATCACATAGGAGGAACTCGTTAGTAATTAAGAAGCTATAAAGGTTAGTAAATGTTACCTATTCGGGATGTGTGGAGAGAGTTGTGACAATGTCCTCGATGTTATTAGAGAGGCCCTCGAAGATGTAATTATTAAAGTCAACCAAGAGAACGGCTCGACCGGTTGATGTTAATTCATCTCTAATGGATTTGGCATGGTGAAGGAAGGTAAAGACTAATTCACGGTGCTCTTGTTTGATGCATTGCAACGTAAGATAGAGGGTCATTATACGAGTGCTAAAGGGGGAAGCAAGGTCACGTTCCAATGTGCACCGGACCTCCCGAGTGGTGGTGTAATCAATCATCATGGGGAATACATCCGTTGAGAGAGAGGAGATCAATGTGCTCGTGAGGAGCCGGTCCTGCTAGATTTAAGCTTCGTGAATAAGGTTAAGCTATAAGAGAGCATAGGTAGGGGATGGAATATGGATAGGAGGGGAAGGGAAGGAGCCATCAACAAAGCCGAATAGGTCTTGGTTAAAAATGAAAGGCTTCGATTACACAAGCCATAGTAGGTAGTTTGTCTTGTTTTATTTCAAGGAGATGAAGTGATGAGAGTTTGTTAGATGAGTCATTTGAAAGGTGGATTAAGGAATGTCTAGAGTAGTTTTAGTAGTGGTGGTGAGAGAGGTGGTGTTTCTTGATAAGTTCATCGGGTTTAACGGAAAAAAAGAAAAAAAAACAATAAGCTTCAATTAAAAGAGAGGGAAGAAAACGACGAGTTAACCTAGGAGGCTCTAATACCGGGTTTAAATTTACTCGTTTGATTTTAGCAAGTATGACTTGATTAACTAGTGTGCGAGTAGTGATACAAATTCATCACCCAATCCGGAACCAAAACGGACCTATCCTATGGTTTTGTGAAACATGGGCCCAAAAACCTCTCTCGTAAAATCTTCCTTAACTATCCCGGAATGCTCAACTTGATATACTAAAGTTAAAAACCATACGGAATGAAGACTAGTTATGGAGTCGGAGATAAATGCCCTACTCGGCTTTGAAGTCAAAGATAAATGCCTTACTTAAAGCCGACACTTGGTCCCTTATCCCTCCCACACCATCCATGAACATTATAAGGAACAAGTGGGTCTTCAAAACAAAACAAAAAAAAATATGGAGATAGTAGCATCAAAAGATATAAGGCAAGGTTAGTTACCAAGGGTTATCATCAATAGAAGGGAATTGACTTAGGGAAAATTTTCAATCTAATGGTCAAGCTTATAACAATCATAGTTATCATGTCCTTACTAGTTTCCCACAATTGGCCCATCAAGCAACTAGATCCGCATAATGCTTTTCTAAGTGGCACATTCCATGAAGTAGCTTATATGGCCCAACTAGTGGGCTTTGTTAATGCCCGGTTTCTTGACTTTGCTCGCAAGCTCCATCGATCCCTTTATGATCTCAAGCAATGCCCATAGGCTTAGTTCTCTTGTCTTCGGGAATTTCTCCTAGTTTTCAGCTTTAAGAGGTCCAAAATTGATTCCTCTCTATTTATTTACAAAGTCGGCAATTAAAGAGTTTTTCTCGCTAGTCTATGTTGATGACATCATCATCATTAGTGACCATTCGGATCTTCTACGAATGGTAATCCATGCCATAAAATCAAACTTTGCCATATGAGACCTTAGTGATGTTAGCTTCTTTTTTAGCATGGAGGTGATCAAAACATCGATCGATATTATCCTATACCAACAAAAATATATACATGACCTTCTTGCTAAACAGGGAATTCTTGATTACCAACCCATCACCACACCCATATCGACCATGTCAAAGTTAAAAAATAAGGAGGTTGAACCCCTTTCGGATCGGACTTTGTATCAATAGGTTATAGGTGCCTTCTAGTATGTTACTCTAACTAGATCGGACATTGCGGATATTATGCATAAAGTGTGTTAGTTAATGCACCAACCTACTTTAGACCATTGGGTAGTCGTGAAATGTATTTTGTGGTACTCGAAGTGCACTTATACTTATGGTTTATACATTCACAAATCTAATTTTTAATTACTCATAGGTTTCTCCGACTCGGATTAGGCGGGTTCTTTAGATGATAGAAAGTCTATAAGGGTTAT